AGATTTTGACATCAAATTTTGGGGTAAAAAAATGTGTTTTATACACCAAAAAATACGGTATATATACATATACAAAAAACTCAGGTCAAGTAAAACGTAGCTGGAATGCTAACACTAACTGTAGCTTAACCAAATTACAAATTATACTGTGGGGAATTATAAGATATATCTTGGGTGTTGAAGTACCTGCGGTTTTAGGACCTAGCAGCAGGAATCTACCAGATTTAACTTCAATTCACAAGTCTCACCTGTTACAAATGTAAGCATAAAAAAATAAAACAGCAAATATGATAGCTTAAGGCCATAAGATGCCACGTCTATTATAATTACTTTCCAATCAAAGCAAGCTTCTTACATAAATCAAAACTAAAATTTAAATATAGTTAATTTAATATACCGTTATTACTTATAATCATGATAATGTATTAATTCATCAGTTAAGTTCTCTAGGCACTAGCGATGTTTTCGGCCGTGATCCTAATAATATCTCACGAGGTTCAGCCAACTTAGGAAATTTAGGTTAGTCTTAAGTACACATACTAAGTTAACAATGTAAAATATTCTTTATAACAAAACTATAATAATAATAATGAAGTTTAAATAATAAAAATAAATATATTGAATATTCTAACCATAATGAAAGTAGCATTAAGGAAATAATGGAGTCTAGCTTACAAAACACATAAAAACTAGTTGTTGGTTTCACGCAGTATCACCGATAAAGAGTGACGCTAGTATAAGCAGAACATTGTACGATCTCTTCTTACAAGGTGTATTGACCAATGAAATCACAAGATAAAAGCAGAGTTATTGATAATCTCTGACTTTAGAGGGCAGCAGTGTATAACCAGTGCACTGAGATTCACTTTTTGACTAGAGATTTGTTTAAAAGGTAAACGGAAGTGTCATACACAATGCCCTAAGAGAAACTACTCTATTGTGACCAATGAATTTTGGGTATATTTCAAACTACATAAAGACATTTCTGTAATTGGCCAGTGAAACAATAATTCGATATGTACTAATGCCACGTGTATTATTTTACACGTAAAATGTTCTTCGTCTATTAATCAGTAAACGTATTGATTCGATTTTCAAACTGAATATTCAATGTCACTGTACTTGGGTGAATCATCCAGGATACACACTTCTGTGGTTGACACGAACAATGACAAAAATAGATACTAGGTAAAAGTTGTATGCAACATTCTTAGAATAATCTATCCTATGCATAGATTTTGTTTTAGTGCAAATTCATTTAGCATGCAAGATGACGTGTGATTTAAAATTCAAGTTTGAGTAGAACTCTTTGTTTACCAGGTAAAGAATGAACAAAATAAAAAAAACTATAAAAAAAGGAAATACCGTTGGCATACAGCCTTCTCCAGACTCAGGATATAGGAGAGATATTTTTATCCTTTTGTCATTAGTCATCAATAAATACCTGATTAATTG